GTTAAGTTACATACATTGCCTTACTTGATTATTCGTTCATGATTATGCTTTCAGATCAATGGGCGAGAACTCCATTTCTCGATGGTAGATGGTGACTTCAAGAAGTTTGAAGGAAAATGGTCCATAAGATCTGGTCCAAGGTATGCATCTGATTATCATTTTATTTCTGAGGATAGGTGGGATGGGAGGTAAATCAATAAAGACATAAGTACATGCATCTTATTTACTACCTTATTTATTGCTTCTCTTTTGATGAACATCCAGCTTAATTTCATCACTAGATTATATTTGCATCACCATGATGCCCCAGACTAAAAACAATTTTCCTTCTTTTCATTATTCCTTAAAGAGGTCTCCAACTTCTAGTGAGCGGAAAAGGAGATTAAGTCTAATATGGCCTATTTTGCTTTTGTTTGCTAGCAGGTCCTCTAGTGCAGTTTTGCTGTATGAAGTTAATGTGATACCAAGATTTAACTTCCCGGCTATATTTCTTGAAAAGATTATAAGGTCAGATCTTCCTGTAAATCTTGGTGCCTTGGCTTGTAGAGCTGAAAAGATTTATCTGGAAAATCAAAGTTGTGGTTCGAGAAAATTCTCTGTTGAGGACTTGAAGCCATCATCTACTTCTTCTCAGCTTGATAAATTCCATAGTACGACAGTTGATACTTCTTCTAGTAAATTTAAAGAAGCACCTCCCACTTCTGGTGTTAGCAGTGTGCTTCCATCACCTGCTTCTGAATTGATTAGCAAATGGGGTGTATATGGAAACGTATGCAGAATTGATAGGCCTTGCGTGGTAGATGAGATCCATCTTCGAAGATTTGATGGCATGTTGGTAATTTACTAAACTTATATCATTACTTATTGGATTCTTAGCCATCAAGGGATGGGCATTAAAGTTTTGTCTTATCCTGTGATACGGTGTGCATGAAGGAACATGAGGGGGCTCATAGGTGTGTCTTTGCTAGTATCACTGTGAAAGCACCAGTTCGAGAGGTATGGAGTGTTCTCACGGCATATGAGAATTTGCCCGAGTAAGTAGTTCTATCTTTCTACAATCTTTTGAGTTCACATTCTTATTTTATTACAGGTATGATCTAACAAAAATCATTTGATAGATTCGTACCAAACCTGGCTATCAGTAGGATTGTTCTTCGTGATAATAACAAGGTCCGCATAATGCAGGTAGAATATGTGGTTCTCTTCTGTCATATTTTGTGGTTAACTGTTTTTACTAGAACATATGAAGTAGTCCTGGCTTAGGTTGTCCTTTATTTTTACTGCACAGCATAAAAAAGTCCTCAAGTCATACACAGTTTTGTCTTGTGTCCTGGTTTTGGTTCACTCTATTGTTTTCATTGTGCTCATCTGAAAGAAAGTTCTGTAAATTCAGTCTGATAGTCTTTGTTTTCTTTTTCAAGCATTATATCTTTTGAAATCATTTTTCTAGGAGGGTTGCAAAGGCCTGCTGTATATGGTCCTTCACGCCCGTGTTGTTATGGATCTTCGTGAAAAATTTGAGCAAGAGATCAGGTTTGAACAAGTTGAGGGTGATTTTTACTCGTTTAAAGGGAAATGGCGCTTAGAACAACTTGGGGATCAGCACACCCTGTTGAAGTACATGGTTGAGACTAAGATGCATAGGGACACCTTTCTCTCTGAGTCTATCCTTGAAGAGGTGAGCCATATATGCATTTTCTTTAATTCATATAACATTTCGCTTAGCTTAAGATGATTAAAGTAGGCTTTTATGTGCACACTGTATTCTGTTTTGGTTATACAAGTGCTTTGCATGGTAATGGGTATATACTTCATGCCATCTCAAATGGTATAAGCTTACTATAGTTAAATTTTCATATTTGGTTGGTTTAAACTTAATTATCTCTAAAGAACCTAACAGGGATCGGTTTTCCATTTTCTTGGTGGCTTACGCTTCTCAAATATCCAAATTAAAAGCTTGAAGGTATTTTAACAGCATTTGTTTTACAAGTCATGTTGTATCTTCAGCTCTTCAAATTCCAGGTGACTACATTCCGTAGCAGTTAGGACACCAAAATTTTTTATCATGGTTTCTGACATTTTTACTTGCTTTTGACAATAGGCTGATTTTTTCGTGCTCTTACTTGGATTAATTGCATGTGGTGCCTTGATGATTATTTCAGCTGAATGCTTTGATAAAGTTTAATGTCTTTAGAGATAGTAAAGCAGACTGTTCATTTTCATCAATCTGTTACAGGTCATATATGAAGATCTTCCATCAAACTTGTGTGCAATCCGTGATTATATTGAAAAGGCTGGAACCAAGGGTAGCAACTCCACAGCTCATTCTGATTTGTCCATAGACCCAGATGCTTATCATGCTGAAAGCAGGCAATCTGAGCAAGCATCTGTGTCTTGCTCATCCAGTACCATGAAGCAGAGACCAAAAGTCCCAGGGTTGCAAAAGGACATTGAGGTCCTAAAATCAGAGCTTGAGAATTTCATTGCAGAGTATGGTCAGTATGGTTTCATGCCTAAGAGAAAGCATCTCCGGTCTCATGGAAGGGTGGATATCGAGAAGGCAATAACACGAATGGGTGGGTTCCGGAAGATTGCCAGCATAATGAACCTTTCTCTTTCTTACAAAAATCGAAAACCAAGAGGCTATTGGGATAATCTGGAGAACTTGCAAGAAGAGGTAATACTATATATCTTTAGCTCCCTCCTGTGCTTATCAGATATCCATTCTAGCACAAGAATACAGGTATAACCATGATTTTTAATCTTTGAATAGTTTTGCACCATATATTGCAAATAGAGTTAAAACTTGTCCACTTATATTTCTAGTATGAATGAAAGCTAGCACTCTGACTCTGTCCCATTGAATTTTATAACGTCATATGCTGTATTCAACATTTTTCTTCAACTTCTGACATCAGCATCTGATCACTATATACAGATCAGCCGGTTCCAGAAAAGTTGGGGGATGGATCCTTCTTATATGCCAAGTAGAAAATCTTTTGAGAGGGCAGGTAATATCTGAAGCCCATTGTTGGAAAATGAAAAACAAAATAGTATTGTGGCACTTTCATGCTACTTTTTTATTCATTTTAGCACAAATGTCTTTAGCTTTATACCATCATTACATGAAAAACAGAAAAATGGCTCCTGTTGTCAGGTTAGATTTGCAAGTTAGATTGGTGTCGTGTCATGAAGTTTCCTTGTCTGGCTTTTGAACTGATTTTCATGCTCTGTTGGTAGGTCGCTACGACATTGCTCGGGCATTGGAAAAATGGGGTGGGGTGCAGGAGGTTTCGCGCCTTCTCTCTCTTAAACTAAGACGTCCTAGAAGGCAAGGCGACTTGGATGATGAGAGCCGGTCTGAATCCCCATCTGAGATGGCAAAGAAGCACGGGGTGAAACCTGATAAAGGCATTGTTTCCTCAGATGCACAGAAATGGCTCCTGAAGCTGAAGGATTTGGATGTCAACTGGGTGGAATACTAGATCAAGCTTTGAAAAAAAAAGATATGCTCTCTCATTGTTAGCTTAACTCTTTCCCTTCTTCGGAGGTGATCTGGATTCTGGAAGCATTCCAACAAAGACGCCGCAAATTGTGTACAGAAAAGCTCGATACACGGGCCAACCCATTCTGAAGCTACCAGCAGGCAACAGATTTTCTTGTCAGTAATCACGACTCTTGGCTACTGCATATCTAGAACCGTTGACTATACTAACAGTAACAGCTTTGTTGCGGTCAAATTGTTCCGTGGATTTGACAAAGACTAGCCACTAAACGCAGAACGGGTGTGCGATTTCGTGTTTGAGTCAGCCTTGCCTTTCAAAGCAGGTGGGTCATCGCTGGGTTAAGCCGTGTTCACAGGCTGGTCGCCTACTTTGTTAGTGATGATGTAAGTTGACCTGGCCCTTTTGTTTTGACACGGAAAAGAAAAGTTACCATCCAGTAATAGGTTCAGTCGGCACGTTTGCATTGCATTGGTCTCAATCAGGCACAGCTACATTCCCTGTTGCTGCTTCGCAAGATGGGTTGCCTTTAATGTGTCTTTTTTTTTGTTTCTAATTTGGCTATTAGCATGGCGGGTCTCTATGAGAAATCAGTTAATTAGAGCGTGAATTTTAAAGACAAAAAAAGGGAAGATTAAAAAGGTCCCACCGGATTCGAACCCAGGTCGCCATACGTTTATAGAAAAAACAGGGTGGCGAAACGAACGGCCTTAGCTATGGCCGGACTAGCAATCTGAAATAATAAGTATGTAGTCAATTATTAAGATGGGGCTTAATGTAGTCAATTATTAAGATGGGGCTTTGAGTAGAGATTGGTCTCTTGGTCTAACCGACATAAGAGATAATAATACAGTAGTAGTTTCCAAAGGAACTGAACTAAAACAAAACCTAACTCTTACATATGGAGGTACCCTCCTTTTATAGCCAAAATAGCTGCCGCTACGATGCATGCTAGTACAATGTAATCTTGGCGACAGCTAAGTCTATTACTATCTTGTTAAAATGGAGGTCGTTCCATGAATCGGATAGCTAACAAGTAACAAATAAATAGTTTAGCCTAGTATACTCTAGCTACTCTAGCTAGATGCAAGTGGTGATTTGGTGTGGATAGCCACAAATACAACACAAAATATCAGCAAAATATCTTTGTCTTCAACTCCAAAGTTCCTGATTAGGAGCACATTTTGATCTTTTCTTGTGTAAATTTTATGAATTGCTGGCCTAGCTTCAGGTGGTGGAATGGATGGTACTATAGCTGTAGATGGTGTGGTTGTATATGTAGAAGTGATGTCCTCATCAACACCACTGCATCCTTGTTGGACAAGTTCACATTTACATAATGGATCTCTACTTCTGCAGCTGGGGCTAAAGGAGCTGTGGATCAGAAGAACATTACGAGATACTCCATGGGGACTGTACCCAATGCGAGGCCAACAGTTAATTACTCGTACTTGAGCAATAACACTCCAGCAAGAGCAGGAATGTGTTTGGGCTGGCATGTCCTACTCAGTCCTTATTATCCTTATTAAAGGATTTGTGGCTTTTGCCTCTGGAGGTTCTTACTTTTCTGCCTTGCCAACGTTGCAGCTGGTGTGCAAAGGAAATTGGAGTTGGATCATCAAGTGAATATAATCTCTTAGCTGTTCATATAGCTGGTTGCTTTACATTTTCAGCAACTCAATATTTGTCATTATCTTTTGCAGCTCCCAGAGACTAACCATAAGGTGACAAAGGCGAACGTGATGAATCAGTCTTGGTCCAGACCAGCAGCAGTAAGGAGCAATGGTGAGTACTGTTCCTGAACATTCTGTGGATCAGAAAAGTAAGAACTTTGGTCTAGTTACTTTGAGCTAACATTGCAAACTTTGGTCTCTGAGCAGGGAGTTACCTTGCCAAGGATCAGAACCCTCGTGCACCTGACCTTGCCGAGAAGCTGTCTCAGCTGTCAATGGGCCCCAACAGGGTTTCGGGTTTGGGTTCCGAGAGGTTCCCTACAGATCTGAAGTATCGAACCCATGGGAACACTGTCAAGCGCCCCTTGCCCGTGGGATCCAGGGCGTGGCATGGCCCAGCCGACCCCTTCCGGCGCCCATACGAGATGCCAGGTGATAGGGCTCTCCTTCCGAGGAAGCTCGTAAGCTGAAGCTCCAAGAAACAGATTCAACAGTCGCCCTGTCAAGTGTCACCGCTACTCTTCCCCGGCTACTTAGGCCTTGTTTAGTTTACATCAAAATTCCAAGTTTTTTCACTCTCTCTCCATCACATCAATTTTTAGCCGCTTGCATGGAGCATTAAATGTAGGTAAAAAAAATAACTAATTGCACAGTTTAGTTGGAAATCACGAGATGAATCTTTTGAGCTTAGTTGGTCCACAATTGGACAATATTTACCAAATAAGACGAAAACGCTACTATTCATCAGGTTGCAATTTTTTGCAATCTAAACATGGCCTTATACCTCCGAATAAACCACCAATCTCCTTTGCAGCAGTGGATGTTGCCCAGCATTGTCTATTACCGTGCTTATGCGTGACTGAGAACCTGATCGCCCTGGTCCCTCGGTGCAAGGGCTCCAGGGATGGTTGTGCGCATGGCCGAATGTGTCTCCATGTGACATTGTGTTTTATGCTTTACAATGTGTGACTGGTTTCAGTTTTTTTTTTTTTTGCTTGTTCAGTGGGCTTGTATGGAATGTGGCATGCTCGGCTAAACACAATTCTAAATATAAATCTTGGTTGTTCAGCAATTGACGAGATCTGTTGCTTTTCTTGTTTTGGTAGCCTAGCAAACTTATTTCTCATCAAGGAACAATTCAGAATCCCCGCAAACTTATTTCTCATCAAGGAGCAATTCAGAATCCGCTAAACTTAAGTTTTGGACGGAACAGTTCAGTATTGAAACGGCTCCCAGCGAGCCGAGAGCCGTTTTGGCTGGCTCCCGCCGTCCCACGCAATCTCGTCCAGGCAGGCGAGCTGTTCTGGTTCTGGCTCTCCCACACGAACATCTCGGCCGCACAAGGGAACCAATCGACCAAGCAGGCGACCCGCACGGCACGAGCAAACCAGAATTTAGGTTATGCACGGTAAATGAGTCACGGATAGAAAATATCCTCTCCAACGGCCTACGCAAGTCCTCCCCTGCTCCCTCTCCTCTCTCTCTCCGCTCAATCTCTCCCCCAGGCGGCAGCCCCAGATCCGCGCCGCCCCAAGCCGACCGCCACCCCCCCGGCCGGCGCCGTCGCGCTGCCCATCTTCTGTATGGCTAAGGGGAGACCAGAGGAGAAGGCCGGTGCCTTGCCCTAGACAGCGCAGGAGGCGCCCTCAACGGCTCGGGGGAAGGAGATGGTGGTGAAGGCGGAGGGCTCGCCCTCAAAGGCGCGGTGGAAGGAGAAAGTGGTGAAGGCGGAGGAGGCCTTGCCTTCAACGCCACGGGGGGAGGGCAAAGTGGTGAAGGCGAAGGCCTCGCCCTCCAGGGCGTGGCAAGAGGGGAAGGAGAAGAAGGCGGAGGAAACGGCGGACCGGGAGGAAGAGTCGGAGGAGGAGTTGGAACAGGGCGACGAAGACGACGTGGAGGAATATGAGAATTGGAACTACTTCCCCGGGCTAGGTGAGTCAAACCGCCCCGCTGCCATCATCCTCTTCTCTCTCTCTCTCTCTCTCAATCTAGTTGTTAGGGGTTGGAAATTGAGCCTGACGTCGTTGTTAGGCTGCTGAAGTCGATCTAGGTTTTAGGGTTCGGGAATTGGGGCTGATGCCTCTGAACAATTGACTCCGCCCTTCATAACTGGACGAGATTGACTTCGCGCTTCGTATCTGGACGAACTATGTTTCTCTTTCTCTTTGCTAATTCTGCTTGCCTAAATTTATTTTAAATCTTTGTTTCCTCAGGTGTCGAGTTGGGAAACAATGGGATCATTCTGGTCCTTTTTGAAACGCCCTCTGGCTTTGCGTTGTTCAGTTATGATGGGGTGAAACTCCTTCTGCCAGGTGCCATAGAGGTAACTTTGTTTATTCGGCTACCTTTGTGTATTCATCTGCAGCAGTTTGCTCTTTCTGTCTTTGCCATTGACCTCATTTTTCTCTATTCTCTGTGACATGCAGCACATATGGACTGATTTCGTGAAGTGTGATATAGCAGAAACAGTTAGAACTCTTTCTTTCCACCTTATTGTTATTTCTATTCTATGTTACTCGTATCCAATTTTAGCAGCATTCATGTTTGCTGTTTTATTCATTGGTTGCATCAGATAAGAATTGTGAAGTCATGTGGTCATTAGCTGTTTACTAATGACTCTGAATGCAAATTTGTCGCCATAAATCAGTTAGAAATGCTAATCAGTTTAGAAATGCTAATCAGTTTAGAAAGCATGTAGCATGATGGTATTATTCTTATTCCCCCAAAACTATTTTACTAGCTAAAAGGTCACTAGTGGTGCGAAGAGATATCTAAAGAAGCGGTTGGTACAAATTTATACCTTCGGCGATATTTGCAATATTTGCATGCCCGAATTCCTGACTAGTAACTGCTAGATAGGGATGATTGAGGCCTGAAATGGTAATGATACTACTACCAACTAATGCCGCTATGGTCAGTTTTCAATCAAGCAAGGCTATATCTTTACAATTGAGGCACGTGTACTTACTGAATTACCCACTCTATAGCTAAGACATGGCATGTCATTTCACTAATTGCATGTGTCCTCCTAACATTCATGTCTCTGTTCATTTCTTTATCAGATTTGTTGGCTGAAAGCATTTGAAGCTTTTGAGGATAAGGCCAGTGCCATTGACCCTAATACTGGTGTTAATGAACAGCTTGCGAAGATGATCAGATGCTGTATCAAGCCTGACCAGAAACTAGCTGTAGGAAGTCATGAATATAAGGAAATCATTGAAAAAACCATGGTCAGTATTAGTTCCTTGTTTTGCTTATGTCTGTGAACAATTTTGAGCACCAATTTTACTGTGGGGTTTTTCAGAAAATATCTTGCCTGCATGATAGTACTGTGATGGAGGTTATGTGGGGCCTGAAGAATTGCATGCACCATTTAGTGCCTGCCGAGCTGACTAAGGATGATCGCCCCCTCATGAGTGAAGGAATGAAAAGGGTCTTGGATAAATATCACTTTATCTACAAACCAGAGATTGTGAGCTCATCACCCCATTTTCCATATATGTCTTATGTGAAGTGCTTTATGTTGCTCCCTGTCATGTACTGTTACTCTTTATGTGCATATTAGCCCTTGAATTTCACTGGCCAAAGTATTTTGATGAAATATTTTTATTTTGCTTTTGTTTCTTTTCTGATAGTGACGTACAAATGCTCTTTGCATCCAGATTAATGATCGTATTATTGAGGTGGCATGTGTCGTGTATAACTATGATTGTTGTGTGGAAAAACATTCTGAATCCTTGCGTGAGGCTGGCAAACACCTTAAGAACATATCTGGCATTAATTCTGAGGGTTGGAGTTTGTTTAAACTTGCCACCGCTCTCAAGATGGTATGTTACCCTGAAGATCATCTTTTAGCTGGTCATAGGCAGGTAAATCATAGTATTTTGCAAATATGTTCTAATCTTGTGTGCATTTGACAAACTTGTCATTTGGGTAATGGGCCAATGTGCTTTTTTTTTCCAGATCTTTTCAGAAGATGAGCTAAAGAAGCTGCTGCAGAATGCACCAGAATACAAAGACAAATTAAAGCCGAAGGCTGTCAAGCTAGTCTATGAAGACATTGTGTGGGCCCTTGGAATTAGGAATAAGTGGCTAGGACAGTTGCCCCGTTACTTGAAGGAGGCTGAAGAAGCATATGAAGCTAAACAAGTGATGAGCCAAGTGATTCTAGAGGACTAGTGCTCGGCCATCAAGGAGCAATTCATAGACTTATTTCTCATCAAGGAGCAATTCAGAATCCGCTAAACTTAAGTTTTGGACGGAACAGTTCAGTATTGAAACGGCTCCCAGCGAGCCGAGAGCCGTTTTGGCTGGCTCCCGCCGTCCCACGCAATCTCGTCCTGGTTCTGGCTCTCCCACACGAACATCTCGGCCGCACAAGGGAACCAATCGGCCTGCTCGTAAAGTCGTAATCGACCAAGCAGGCGACCCGCACGGCACGAGCAAACCAAATCTCGCAAACAACAGGCTTGTTCGGAATTCTCGGAAGAAACCAAACATGCCCCTAATTCTAATTTCGGACTGAGCAATGACCCAAAGTAAACGTAATTTGCATCCCATGATCACGAATAATTTATGGAGCCTGGGTCAACCGGACAGGAAATCCAAAACCTTAACAATGGGAGCAAGAACAGATATGCTTTTTGTGTACATAATACCACAAACTAATCTGAAACCTTTCACATTTATAAGACAAACTAATACAAACGCAAAACACGTTTCCACCAGGCTGCCCTGTAATTGTACGCTTATTTGATGCCTATCCCTAACTCCTGTGGACTTCTGGCAGCTTCTGTGTACATTCTGTGGGGCCTATATAACTTGCTATATTTGGATGAAAAACTAATAGGCACAGCTAAAATACAGGACAAACGAAAGCTGTGGACACCTATGTATGGGAAACAAACAAATGTTGCTCACTAAATATCGACCCGAAGGGCCGTCAGGAAAGCTAGCGTGTGAGGAGAAGTGGACTTGCCGAAGGGCGTGCACCACCGTGGCAGCTTCTCGAGAACCCTTGCGACCTGTGGTGTGACTCTATTCACATCTGTTCTTAGTTTTACCAGGAAAGGAACTTCCGCTGCTTGTTTAGCTTCTCTTTGAGATGCTTCGGTAGCCTTGTTCGACCAGTATAGGGTTAGCTGGAATTTTGTCGGCGAGTTTTTGCCACCTGCGAACTGGATTGTATGCCACCCATCTATCTCGCTCTTATCGCCGAGTAGGACTATTTTCTCTGAATCCACTGAACAGAATACATGAAAAAATGTCAAATGATGTGGATAGGGAAATCAGCTACAGCCTACAGTCAGTACTTTCAAGCATGTTCAAAGTCTACTGGTACTGATTTATACTGATATTTATCAGTACTAGCTGACAAGCTCAAGCAATGAACTCTAGTTATAAAGTTTCCTGTTTTTTTTTTAAGAATTCTATATTTATTTAATGGTTCAACTCACCTTGAACTGTGAAGTCATCGATTTCCTCTTTGTTGATTCCAAGTGTCCAACGTGTCGATGACTTGGTATCAACTGATACTACTGTCTGTCGAGCACCACCTGTAACTGAATCACTTTCTACAAGGAGCACAGGAACTTCAGACTTGCTCCATCCAGTATTACTCTCTTTGGGCAACCGGCCCAATTCTCACTTGGGCAACGGAAAGCCACCGTGTAAGGGTGGGGTGGTATTTCGAGGGTTTTCTCGGCCTGGTGAGAAGGTCTTCTTCTTATTTGGAATGCTGCGGGGGCAGTCTTAACCCCTTCAGGTCGAGTTTATAACTAGTTTTGAGATGCAGTGAGGATATGGTGCAAGTAGCATTGTTCCCAAATACCAAAACGTAACTGATGAGTACTTGTTTTGGTTTGGGTACCAAGGGTTAAATTTGTTATCAAAATTTCACAGGTATGCATAAACAAATATCATGATAAACCCAGCTAGAGGCACTGTAGTATAACAGTAGCATAAGAAGTGCTTACGTTTACAGATCGAGCGACATCCTCCGTAAATGCTGGCACAATGCCACTTGACGCCAAAGCAAGTGAAAGACCAAAGGATACGAATAATAGTAAACCCAGAATTCTTTTATCACCTAAGAAAAGCACAACATTATACAAAAGCTTCTTTTGGGAAGGTAACTGAAAAGGCAAATGCATAAAAATAAATCTACAAAATGTGAATTAGTTTAAGAATTTAAAGCATGGCCAGATAGCAGTACAGTGAACATTAAATAGAAAAAGTAGGAACCCTTTTCTGACAGGTGAAGAAATACCAGGAAATGCAACACTATGGTTATTTAACAGACATTAGTTACATAACTGCAATATACATCAACAGGTTGGTGTCCTGAGAACACAGAAGTGTCTGTTGGCAACTTGGATGTGCAAATACTTATACAGTACTAAATTATTACTGATTATGCAGTGAAGAACAAAACTGAAAATGCTGTACAGTGCAAGACTAGCAGATAAACCACACCCTTTCATTCTAAATGGAAGAGGAAAGTCAAAAAAGGAAATGTAAACAAGAACACAAATATTAATGAGAACATAACTTTAGCATTAAAGGAAATGTAACTGTATCTAGCATGTCATGATTTACCTGAGATATGAATGTATGAAAGAAGATACACAAACGTGGAACAGACGACAACAGCAATGGCAACCGAAACTATTACATTTCCAAGCCAGTCTGGTAGTCCGCCAGGATTCCTGCGTATCAATGCAAAATGAGGTTAAGAAAAAAACTTAGTTGCTTTAGATAGCAGACTTCATGTTTCAAAGAACGTCAAACATTAACCAAAGAGATGATAAACTGCAAGGTGTCTACATATTACCTGTCAATGCGTACAATACTTCCAACAATTACATCGACCATGCGAACAGCCAAACCAGCAGAGGACACAACTGGTGCAGCCAAACCCAGAACCAATGTGACAACCTTAAGCTGTTTAGGTAGCCGAACAGGGGAGAGAGTAGCTTCCAAAAAACCATCTACAAATAAACAACAGCCATAAACACTCAAGGCGATATCAAGCTATTAACATAGACAGTATCAGCAACTTACATGCAAAAGCAGGCGAAACAAGCCAGATGAGTGCTATATATGATGATCCAACCTTGAAATAAGTTCCTAGTATCAGAGCTATTAGCCATTGGACAAAACCAGATTTAAAAATCCACCTCTCAGCTTCCAGGTCAATAACATTTTCCATCGTGCTAAGAGTTAAGCCTGTTTTTGTTCTGGAATACACATGTCGAAGATGCCTCTTCAGGAGAATAAATCCAATATGCTGACCAATAAATGCTCCAAGCAGTGCAGGTGAACCAAATAAGCCAATAATTAACCATGGGTTTGCAACATATGGAACAGGAAACGGACATATGTAGGGCAGAGCAAATGCTACCACAACTGGTAAGCAGAAAGAAAATATCAACATTAGAATGATGCTCAAGCATGATATTGCAAAGGACACCAGTGCAGGGTGTCCACCCATAAGCAATGATGTTCCCCATATTAGAAGTGACTGCAATATGATTGAGTTGTGAAACATGGTAGCAAGTCGCTGTGGATAGACCACCATGTACTTTCCCTGCAAGGTTGAACAAATAGGCAGAAGAGGGGGAAAAATAAGTTGACTGCAATATGAACTTCACAAAATCTAAAATTAAATAGTTTTAACAATGTCCTGTTTCATCTAATATTGGTGGAATTTTCCAGTAACCAACAAGGACAGATTTCATGACACACAATCAAGATCATTGGCAGCACATAATGGGGAAAGAATTTACTGCAATACCAGGATATCGAAGTAAACAGCTTTATCCTGCTCTGTGTTTCCTTGCTTCCGTTGTTGTGCATCTTTCAAAAATTTTGGAGATGCTGCAGAATGGAGTAGGAAAGCAAGCATGTTATCTCCAATATGCTGAAGAGACCCCGGTTTCAGAAGCGTCATCTTGTCATTCTACAAAGTAGATAATAGAAACAATCACAAACCAGAAGTTAACATGTTTAGGATTCAACAAAGTGGATTATCAAATATTATTTTGACCCTGTAATATTTTTACCATATTAATTGAGGCCACGTTCCATTCCAGATCTATTGGTACATGACTTTTGTGCTACAGCACCACATAAAACTCTAATCTCACAGCATTCAAATAATTAGATATCACTAAGAACTAAACGGTTGCATATTATTCTTAGCCACCTTGTGAGGCTGCAGCAACAAGAGAAGTAGGCATTTACATCTGCTGGCAGCATATTGACTAATATTATCGGCTACTAGGACCTTTCCCTCTCCATCTATCACTATAACACATCACATAATAGATGCAAACACAAGTATACATAAGACTGGAGAGGCTCTCTTTCTTTATTGTTCACATAATGATCTGTACAATGAAATCTCTCTCCTCTCCTCCCAATCCTGGTGCGAAGGTGTGCTACTAGGAGTCCATGTTTTTGGTAAAAGTTCGATCCAAAAACCCATTGGGAAAACAGTTCTTGGAGAAAGAGTACAAAGAATATGCAAGTTGCATAGCCCAGCATTCCTTTGAACGTGTAGTTTTTTAGTCAATTATGTATTAGATATAAGATGTCCTTACTTAATCTGGTTTGATCTAGTTAGCTGCTCCTTTAAAAGAGAACAAACCTACTAGCATTGTTAGGTGTAAGCCCCCCCATTCCCTCCCTCCCTCCCTCCCTCCAACAAGACCTCGGAGCCATTGTGGCAACTGCTAGTGTAAATCCTTTTGTTAATCTTTTGCTTAACTAGTAGTTTTTTTCTCGAACACGCAAGAGAACTGCGCGTCATTGCATTAAGATAGAAAAACAATCCGATTACAAGCCATTTCCACAGCCAGGGTTAGTTTTTTAACACATTCATGCCCTTGAAAGATAGAGCAGCCATATCCATCTTTCTAACCCAAAATCTCCCCGAGGGCCTTAGCACTGGACAAAACACACAACACTGCCTGCTCGCTAATCTCCTGTACCACTGCTCGGACGTCAGGGACACAGCCATTACAGTGGGGGCTACCCTGCTATATTCCCAGTTCCAAAAAAAAGGAAAACGCAGTGGTTCCGATGCTTCCAATATGTATGCCTATATGCAATGCAAGAGCAGCTTAGCAGCTCAGAAGCTGATAAGGCTGGCTGATCAAGAGCAAGTGTCTTTACCCTCGAACCTCAACACTGCCACATCATATATCTTCTAGAATTAATCAGCTCAGTTAATACTTGTGAAGCAACTTGATCTGCAATCTATTTCTCCTTTTTGTTAAAACTGTTACTTTTGATTTGTAACCAAAATTTCAGTTTAAACTCTTAATGTTCATCAGGCAACATTGTTAAAGAAGCTTAGTCATTGAGTGAGGCTTCGTAAAAAAATTACTTTCCAATTTTTAAAAAACATAAATACACAAAGAATTATCAATGGACAATATGTCAGAACTTTTATCCACAGCCTTATATATATGTATAAAACAAGTTATGGAGCGGTATAGGGAGAAGAAGAAGGACCTACACATGGTTTTATTCACTTGGAGAAGGCTTATGATAAAATACCAAGGAATGTTATGTGGTGGGCTTTGGACAAACATAAAGTCCCAACGAAGTACGTCGGACTCATTAAGGACATGTACAACAATGTTATGACTAGTGCTCGAACAAGTGATGGAGACACGGATGACTTCCCGATTAGCATAGGACTACATCAAGGGTTAGCTTTGAGCTCTTATCTGTTTGCCTTAGTGATGGATGAGGTCACAAGGGACATACAAGGGGACATCCCTTGGTGTATGCTTTTCGCGGACGATGTAGTGCTAGTTGATGAAAGCCGGACAGGAATGAATCAGAAACTGGAGTTATGGCGGGAGACTTTGGAGTCCAAAGGTTTTAGACTCATGAGAACTAAAATCGAGTATATGAGATGTGACTTGACACTACTACTCGGAGGAGGAAGATATTAGTTTGGAAGGTCAAGTAGTACCTAGAAAGGATACCTTTTCGATATTTAGGATCATTGCTACTGAGAGAGAGGGATATTGATGAAGATGTTAGCCATAGAATCAAAGCGTGGTGGATGAAGTGGCGCCAAGCATCCGTGTCCTATGTGACAAAAGGGGGTACCATGAAGCTAAAAGGCAAGTTTTATAGGACGACGATTAGACCTCTATGTTGTATGGTGCGTAATGTTGGCCTCTGAAAAGACGACATATTCAATGAGATAAGTGTCGCAGAAATGCGTATGTTATGCGTTGGATTTGCGGTCATACAAGAAGGATCGAGTTCGAACGATGATATACGTGATAGATTAGGGGTAGCACCAATTGAAGAAAAGCTTGTCCAACACCGGTTGAGATGGTTTGGACATGTCCAACGGAGACCTCCAGAGGCACCGGTGCGTAGTGGAATCCTAAGCCAGGATAGTAACGTGAAGAGAGGCAGAGGAAGACCGAAGTTGACTTGGGTAGAGGCAATAAAAGGAGACTTGAAAGGATGGAATATACCCAAAGACTTAGCCTTAGATAGAAGTGCTTGAAAAACAGCTATTCACGTGTCTGAACCTTGATTGCTTCTGCTGGGTTTCAACTCTAGCCTACCCCAACTTGTTTGGGACTTAAAGGCTTTGTTGTTGTTATATATATGTATAAAGTCATAAACATGTGGGAAAGAAAAAACTCAGATAAGTTTGGCATTAATAATGATAAGCCAAGAGAACCAACCTTCGTATGATACACAGATGTCGTATCGGTATATGCAAAATCAAGTCCAGGAAGACGGCCAACTTCCTCATATATTTGAAAATCGGTAGCAGATTTTATTGCTCCAGAACGAAAAACATCCTGCAATTACAAAACATCAATCCCCTGGGAAAACAACCAATATTAATCTATCATGCAGCACCAAACTGACAGATCTGGAACTATCTTCTTTCACCCAAGCAACAAAAAACTCCCTTTTTCTTCAAGCTCTTTTTTAGCACCAAATACGTTGGTTTGAGGCTGGCAAACAATTGTATATACCTAATTTATTAATAGATTGTTTCTATAATCAAACAGGACAAATGAAAATTAACAAATGCTCTGGGCTGTTAGATTTCAGTTAACTCAGGCATGACCATGTGCATTGAACCCCCCCAAAAAAAAACAGCAACTGAAATTGAGCAAAATCTGGCCAGAGGGGAAAAAAGAAGTCAGCACAAGAAAGTTGGAGGGAGGGAGGTGCTACCTGTGAAGCTATCTGAGCAGATGGGTATTTGGCTACAGCTGCAAAGCTTTCCAACGCCCAATGGTCAGTACCCTGTCATACATTAAAAACTTTAGGCTAAGAATGTAATTCTCCTTTTGATTGTAAGTTGGACCCAAAGTAAATTGTAATCCACAGCACTCGAAACAACGAATAGTTCTAAACCAAAGTAGCCACATACACCTTCATGCTTATATTTTTCTTATTTTCTTCCATGTGCAAATCTAACTAAACCTCCCATTTGCCCAATTTTCCAGGAAGACCTTTTATTAGGATCAGGCAGTCAGCAACAAAGAAAATTTTAAACACCAGGAGTTTAAACCTTTGGTACAAGTACAAATATAATCTCAACATCCACATGGGGAACATTACAGAACTAAAACAGACCTGGAAGAGTGTGGATTCACTGATACCCATAGCTTCCAGATCAACCGCAAAACTTACTGAATTTCTCCAGTGGTGCTGCATAAAAGTTAACATCAGGATTCAGGAAATTACACATAGCATGCATGGTGACAGCGTGAATGTGAAACATGGCTTTCAATGACTTGTTTAAAATAACAGAATTACAATTGGTCAATTTTATTACACTTTAAGAAGTGTCATGAGGGGACTGTTTAGGACACTAATCGAAGGTAAAGGGACTCCTTTAGTGAACAAGTTGGGGAGAAGAAAGGTAACATCTTGAGTAGTATATACTTCTTCGATCCCATATGCTCCTACTCCTGCAAGTGCTGAATTATGAGAAACACTAGCATTATAACCCTTAACAAGGCAGCTACCAATGTAGACCCCTGCCAAAATTCCTGCAACCCCAAAAACAACGCATTCACGAATACCAATGCCTACTGAAATGTATTCATTGACACAGTGGGACAATTTAGGAGTGAGGAGTTTGCCAGACATGGAACAGTTCAGTAGTTAACAGAACTCAACAGTTTTCGCCCATGCATAGTGCAACTTAATGAGGTCCTCTATTGCAACAATTGTTACAAGAGAATGACAGGTGCTATTATAGTCTAGTAGCAGTACTTAACTACTTGATACATATACAGTAATACTATAAACTATATACATCTAGGGTAGCAGCACAAGCCACAAGCAGGCAGGACGACTATACTACTCGACTAGCCGACTAGCCACTGACTAATAGGACCTAATTGATGACTATTTACTAATCACGATTATTCGGCAGATCGGTGCCCATACAACTAGGTGATTTGAAAACATTGACCTGGATTGAACAGGTGGTAGCTATGGCAATCTTACGGCACATATGTGTATGAAGTTTAAAGATACTAACCTGAGTTATAAAACTATGGGCGCCATCAAGACCCTCTTCTTCTCCAGTATTGAATAAAAACAAGATACCACTCTTAAACCCATGTGCCCACTGAGCCACTCCCCGTGCAAGCTCTAACATGACTCCCACACATGAACTGCAATCCCCAGCACCTTCCCTGAAAATTCAAAAACACATTTAGTTTGCCACTGACACCCTTCCCCAGACCCCGCGCAGAGCAGGAGCTCTCTGCACTGGGTAAGCCCTTTTTACATTTAATATCTGAAAAATGGACAAAATATGTGGATGTCACTACAATTAGATCAATTAGTGTACAAAGAAAAATGTAATTATGTTTTACTGTTACCACAATGCCTACATGGATAGCTATCTAAATTATTAGTGAAATCTGCTCAATGAAACAACCAGGTAAAAAATATGGCACTGTGAATCATACACCATTATTTGTATGGTTCCTTCAAAACATATTGTAAATGTCTTATCATTAGATACTCTTGAACTCACACCCAATAGTCAATGTCAAGTTATTTGTTGTTAATTTATTTCCTACATATTAATGAAGAGGGTATTGAAACTTACGTTGTCGAAACAGTGTCAATATGCGAAGAAACCAGAATCAAGTTTTCCTCAGCTTCTGGTAAATATTTGGGAGTAACTCTCAATAGCACATGCTTTAAGTCTGAATACAAGAGAGTTTTTCCCTTGAAAAGACCACCAGATAGACGATTTGCGCCTATATCTGTGTGAAACAACTCCAATTGAACATCAACCTCCCAATGAGCTGTCTTCTTTATTTTTTCTGCTACTGCATATACATACTATTGCATGGGCATGTCTGAGAGCAATTAGCCTCGGGATTGATTGATTGATTAAAGGGGTACAGGGGTACATTATATAGGCAAGGATCCCTAAGGGTTTATAGAAACACCCAATCAACGGTGATCCTTGCCTTATCAATCTATCTTAATCCCTAAGGTGCTTAACCGCACCGGCCCATAACAGCCCATTAGGGCGCCTATCGCTAACACTCCCCCACAGTCGAAACGTTAGCCACTTTGCACGTTTAGACTGGACCTAAACTCCGTGAACACTGAGGTAGGCAGTCCCTTGGTGAAGATATCAGCATACTGCGAGGAGGTAGGAACATGCAGAACTCGTAGATCACCAATGGCGACTCGCTCCCGAACGAAGTGAAGATCGATCTCAATGTGCTTGGTGCGCTAATGTTGCACCGGGTTGGAGGTCATGTAGACGGCACTGATGTTGTCGTAGTACACCAGTGTGGCGCGCCGAAGAGGGGCATGTAGCTCCAAAAGAAGCTGACGTAGCCAGGTCGCCTCTGCAACTCCATTAGCCACTGCGCGATACTCGGCTTTAGCACTTGATCTTGATACTGTATTCTGGCGCTTGGAAGACCAGGAAACGAGATTGTCACTGAGGAACACTGCATAACCCGAGGTGGATCTGCAAGTGTCGGGACAACCAGCCCAGTCAGCGTCGGTGTAGACAACAAGATCAGTCGAAGTAGTCGGTCGCAGCAGGAGACCGAGGTGGAGTGTGCCCTGAACATAGCGAAGAATCCGCTTCAGAGCAGCAAGGTGAGGCTCTCGAGGGTCATGCATGTGGAGGCAGACCTGCTGAACAGCATATGCAATGTCTGGGCGAGTGAACGTCAAGTACTGAAGAGCTCCGGCAAGACTGCGAAAGTCTGTAGCATCAGACACAGGGGCCCCCTCAGCTGCAGCAACCTTAGAGTTGGTGTCAACTGGTGTAGAGCACGGCTTGCACTCGGTCATCCCGGCGCGATCTAAGATATCCAAGCATGTCTTCGTCATTGTGAGAGCAGGAGTCCATCACCACATCGTTGAACATGCATACCGAGGAAGTGATGTAGTTCACCAAGATCTTTCATGGCGAACTCCCGCTGAAGTGCTGAGATGATCCGCCGAAGAAAATCTGACGACGAGGCTGTGAGGACAATATCATCAACATACTGATATGGTAGGTACGTATACGATCCAAGACGATAGATGAAGAGTGAGGTGTCGACTTGGCCGACAAACCCAATAGACAGCAAGTAAGAGGCCATCCGACTGTACCAAGCACGAGGAGCCTGCTTCAGGCCATAGAGCGACTTCTTCAAGAGGCAGACAAAATCCGGATGGGCTGGATCTTGAAACCGGACGGCTGCTGGCAGTACACTGTCTCAGTCAAATTGCCATGAAGAAAGGCGTTCTTCACATCCACCGTGTGTGAATGGGCGATGGCGAGTGAGCGCTAAGGAGAGCACCGTATGAGGACGATGCGAGCTTCACCACGAAGTGAAGGTCTCATCAAAATCCACACCAGGCCGCTGGGTAAAGCCACGAAGAACCCAACGTGCCTTGTACCGCTCGAGGGAGCCATCAGACTGAAGCTTGTGCTTGAAGATCCACTTCCCAGTGACAACATTGGCCTGGGGAGGACGGGGCACAAGATCCCAGGTGTGATTCTGCAGGAGAGCACTGTGTTCTTCCTCCATAGCCGCCGCCAATTAGGGTTGACAAGAGCGCTTCTGAAGGTCTTGGCACCGGAGATAGAGGCACAGCGTGGTAGATAGCGGGCATCCTGTGAGCTGCTCTTGAGCGGGTGCCCATGGAGTCTTTGGTTGTACCGAGGAACAAAGAACAACACACCCTTGAGGCGTGAGGCTCTTTGTGCAGCGGGCGAAGCCACAGATCTGGCGGCCGGGCGGCCGGTGGCTTCATGCGCGCCGACGCGTGTAGACGTCGTGAAGTCGCGAGCCGGCGGAGAGGTGGGAACCTGGTGGTGGCCAGCATGGGCGCCTGCGAAGTCTTTGAGGAACCCGCAGACGACGCGAGGATGTCGCGCCAAGACGCAGCCGCGTCCGTGGGCTCTCGGGGTCGCTGCGTGCGCGCGGTGGTGTCCCCCCGACACCCGCAGCCTTGAGGGGGGCGTAGAGCCTTGGGCGTCGGAGGATCCTCGGCATCCTCGGGAGGCTCGAGGCGCCCAGCCGCGGCCTCACGGGGACCGGCGAAGCGCGCGGTGGCGTCGGAGGTACTGGGAGGAGTTCTGCGAGCAAGCACTTGTGTGGACGGTCCAATAGGGCGGCACAAACATCGATAGTGTCATCGGCAAGAAACTCGAGGTCTGCTGGAGTACTAGGACCATGACGCTCAGCGAAAGGGAAGGCCGTTTCATCGAAGATGACGTGCCGGGAGATGATGACTCTATTGGATGATAGGTCAAGGCAGCGGTACCCTTTATGATGAGCTGAATAGCCTAGGAAGACGCACAGGACAGACCTAGGGGCAAGCTTGTGAATGGCAGTGGCGGACATGTTGGGATAACATTTGCAACCGAAGACTCGCAGATGATCATATGTGGGTGGCTTGCCAAACAAGGCAAGATGAGGTGTGGAGAACTCTAGAGTCTTGGTGGGCAAAATGTTGAGGAGAACAGTCGCCGTGGAGAGAGCCTCCACCCAGTAGGAGGGAGGCATGGACGCCTGAAAGAGCAGGGAGCGAACAACATTATTTATAGAGCGAATAATGCGTTCAGCTTTACCGTTCTGAGACGAGGTGTAAGGGCAGGACATGCGAAGGTGGATGCCCTGGGTGAGGAAGAAGTGCCGGGTGCTGGAGTTGTCAAACTCTTTCCCGTTGTCGCACTGTACGGCTTTGACGCGGGCGCCAAATTGAGTGGAGGCGTGGGCGATGAATTGAGCAAGCGTGCTAAAAGTGTCAGATTTAAGTCGTAAAGGAAATATCCACAAATAGTGAGTGCAATCATCAAGAATGACCAAATAGTATTTATAACCAGAAATGCTGACAACTGGAGAGGTCCATAAATCACAATGAATAAGATCAAACTTGCTAGACGCACGAGAGGTGGACACATGAAAGGGCAGACGAACATGACGTCCTAGCTGACAAGCATGACATAAATCGGAACAATCCTGAATAGGGAATGAAACACTAGACGCGAGCTTTGACAAGGCCTCGTGACCAGGATGCCCAAGACGCCGATACCACAGTGGAGAGGAGCCCTGAGCGGCAAAGGAAAGTGCCGGTGGAAGGCAAAGTGGGTACAATGGCCCGGAGCTATAACACCGGACGATCTCTTTCCGAGATGGAAGAACCTTCACAAAACAACCAGCGGGGTCAAACTCAACAGAGCAATTATTGTCAATAGTAAATTGGCGAACAGAGATAAGATTCTTAATAATTTGTGGCGACACAAGGACATTATTAAGACGTAAATTGGATGATAACTCTGTGGAGCTAGTGGCAGTGACAGGAATAAGGGAGCCATTACCGACAATAATAGATGAAGGGTTAGGGTACCGCGGGAGAAGAACATGTGAAAGAGAGGAGGGCTGAGATGTCATATGTGAAGTAGCACCTGAGTCGAAGTACCACTCGTTGGTCGAAGGAGAATCGGCCGATGTCGTCTTTGAAAGCGGTGGCGAGATCCGTCGGGTCCCGGAAGGGAGGCGGTCATAGGGTTATAATACCGGAGGGCGACCTTTGCCCGGTAATTTCACTTGGTGAGCAACAAGCGCTTTCTTCTTTTTCTTCTTTGGGCACAGTCTTGCGCTTTGGAGGTGAGGGGGCACTTGGGATGGGTGCCAGAGGCGACGAGAGCTCTGGCCACATCTGGATGGTCTTGGGACCGAGGATTGTAGAAGTTGGGCCAAGGCGCCCCCCCACCGCCGCTTCTTCTGTGTGTGGCAGCCAGGGCGGGCCAGAGCCCCGTCTGAAGTCTTCTTTGCTGCCCGTCCTTTTGCCGCCGCCACCAGCTTCTTCTGCGGCCGCTAGGGAGTTTTTGAGCCCCTCCAGGCGCCTCTAGGGCCTGCGCAGAAGGTGGAGGTGCCGCGGTGGGAGAAGTGGAGGTGGTGAGTCACATTCTTTGGGAGCCTCCGTGCGATTCGCCATGGTGAGTTCCTCAAGGATGAGGTCCTCACGGGCTTCCGGGAACGTGGGGAAGGGCTTGGCTCGCGAAGAAGCGTCTTACGCGTGGGCGGCGCTCGTTGAGGCCGCGGATGACGTTGAGGACGAGGGTGCGATCGGTGATGACCTCGCCGAGGGCCGTGAGATCATCGGCCATCTTCTTCAACTTCTTGGCAGACTCGGTGGCGGAGAGTCGCTTTTGGACGGTTGCGAAACCGCATCTCTCGGTGAATGGAGCGAGCCTCCCGATTGCCGAAAATCGCGACTCGACAATGAGCGAGCGTCTTGCGCGTGTGGAGCCCCTGAGCACGGATGATCTCGCCCAGATCATCCGTGAGTGTGGCGACGATCCAGGACTTGACGACGCAGTCCATCCGGCCCAATCTGGAGAAATCGGATGGAGGGTCTTCGCGACATGGCCCTGGTGAAAACTTGGCGAGGATGAGCACAAACTGATCGCACCAACGGTTGAAGTTACCGGAGTCGACGTCGAGGATGGTGGTGACGTGGTTCCGGATGTTGCTGACGGCGACGACCTGTGAGTGGAGTTGGAGCAGGGCCACGGCCTCGTGGTGAAGCATGGCCGCGCGGAGGTCGGTCGGCGTAGGAGCTCCTCGAGGCGGCGCAGTGGCTCCATGGCGGCGCGCGCGTCCGCCATCGGGCGCTACCGGGCCCCGTCTCCTTGGCGGCGGCGGCCATGGCCTTCTTCTTTCGCCTTCGGGCGCGAGCAGGCGGCGTCGCGCGTGGCCTTGCGTTCGCGCTCCAGGCGTTGAGCGGTGGCGGCGGCCTCATTGGCCTGCTCCTAGGCGAGCCGCCGGGCAACCTCGTCGGCCTGGAGGGAGGTGGCGGAGCCGTCGTCGTCGTCTCTGGGAGTAGACAGAGAAGAGCCCATGGCGGCACGGCAAGAAGGCAGTGCGCCGCATGCAACGGGGCCGACGGGGCGTGGGAGCGCCAGTGGGGGCCGACAGCTGCGGGGGGAGCGGCAGGCCTTGGTGGCGAGGCGCAAAGACGGCGAGGGCCGTGTGGGGAAGGAAGCGCAATGGCACAGTCAATGACGCCATGGAGGAAGGTGCAATGAAGTCTAAACCTAAGCGTGATACCATGAGAGCAATTAGCCTCGGGATTGATTGATTGATTAAAGGGGTACAGGGGTACATTATATAGGCAAGGATCCCTAAGGGTTTATAGAAACACCCAATCAACGGTGATCCTTGCCTTATCAATCTATCTTAATCCCTAAGGTGCTTAACCGCACCGGCCCATAACAGCCCATTAGGGCGCCTATCGCTAACAATGTCAAAATAGGATACAAAGTTCCACAAAAAATGCTCAGCTCCAATAATGTTACTGATCATGTTATTATAAGGTGCATAGACAACACTACTGCGGGTAAGAAAGAAAATGACAAATTATGAACATGTAAGAAAGAGACCAGTAGAATTAAATGGGTGAATAAAAAAAAAGGGCATACCCAGTGCAGAGAGCTCCCGCTCTGTGTATGGGTCCAGGAAGAAGGTGTCGATGGCAAGCCTTACCTCTTTGTAAATGCGAGGAGACCATGACTCGAACCCGGACCTTCCCACCACAAAGTGTAAAGACTCTACCGCTTGCACCAGGCCCGCCCTTCAATTAAATGGGTGAATCCTAACTTCAATTTGCATTTTCTTGTTACCAGTTCACAGCAGCTTAGCAGCCATTAGTTACCAACTAGGTGTAAATAAAACTGGCAATCAGAATTGTATGGCAGATGAATTCAAAACATGGGTCGAATTTAGTAAATCTTTAAGAATTATGCCGGAGCATTTATGTTATGGCTATGCCTAACAAATAGGTTAGTAGCTATTCCCTCTCTTAAAAACATCTACAAAACCAAACATATATTTCATTGTGAATTTAATGAAACTAATTCTATGTTGTAGAAACTAGAAGACCAAGTTTTGATTGAAACTGTGAAAGTAGGCTACATGAATGAACAACCTGAATAGCACGATCGAGGGAATCTGAACCAACTGGGTGAGGACCCAAGCCTGTCAAATACTTGACATGCTTAAGCGCAGAAACTTCAGAGAACCCCCTCTTGCCAGCCTGCTCCGCATCAAGGGGCAAAGGAAGGCTTCCAAACTGGATCTGATAAACAGACCATGATCCATGAAGGAATATTATCAACAATCCCAGTAATAAGTAAGCACCCCTCCTATGCTTGCGCCTGTCATCATTTGAATCAATTGCCTGATCAACTTTGGGCTTCTCACGGGTTGACACAGAAGAGCCTTGCCCTCGAGGCATTCTGATAATCTGAATTCAAATAATGCAAACAAAAAAAAGATAAGGGTTGTTTTTACAAGTACCATCATCAATAGAAAACTAATCAACAACTAGCTCAGTTTTTTTTTTCAGAAGTATATATTTTTTAAAAGTACAAAAAAAAAGTTTATCTTTTTTGTTGACAAGTGACAACAGGATAAGCCCATCCTACCTAAATAAGTTTATCCGTGAATCCAGGCAAAATACAACATGAATGAAGGCACAAAATGTAAATTGGTGCGACTTTCCTCACTTCACTCCATAAAGTGACTGCGATTTTACTCAGCACAGCTGTACTGACCACCCATGGGTTCACAATCACAACACCAAGTCATGACAGGATCACCAAACCGACCAGGACAAGAAATCAATCAATCAACAAAGGTCCCAATGCTGCTGCACCTTTAAAGAAGCTGGCCTGGACCAGGACGAGAGATGACTCTCTCCATGACTCCATATCATACAAGAAAAAACGGACAGCAGAAAAGGCATGTGGCAGGCCACCGCAGGGATTTTACAACCCCATCATCATTTTTCACTTTCACTTCCAAGCGGAAATAAATCTGGAGAGGAGAAAGGACGCGGCGTGGCCCCTACCTACCTCGGCCCAGTTAACTCCCAACTTGGTCAGTCGTCGTCATGGGTTAATTGACATAGTAACTGACGAAACTAAGGCTGGCTTATCTAGTGCTCCATGCGCGAGACTTTTAGCACGCAATCTCCTCCATCCCCGTGATCTGATCCTCGGCATTGAGGAGCGGGAACAGCGTGTGATTCCTGGAAATTAGATCTAGAAAGCCCAACCCAGACCCAGCGCCAGCAGCGAGGAGGAAAATTGGTGCTCAATTGCACCCGAAAAAATCCCACCCCAAAGGGAACAAATCCGCAACAAATTGCTCAGATGGCAGTCGGATTTGGATTTGGGTGTGGTAGCTGAGACCTCAGAGCAAGCAAAGTATAATAAGCATACTACAAAACGGAAGCACACTCGGTAGTAGAAAAATCCATCCGGGAATTGAATTCCTTACCAGCAGACGAGGCGGACGAAGACGAAGGAATCAGTTGAAGGCAGGTCGGTGCACTGAGGAGAGAGTGACGGCGACGCTCGTGCACTGAGGAGGAGAGGAAGACGACTTGGCGGATGAGATGAGAATTTCCCGTGGTGGAGACCTGGCAGGGGTGGGATGGAGTCTCGGAGACCGTTCCGTGATGCAGTTGGGCTGGACGCGCGTGCTAGTCGTCGTCGACCCGCTCGCCCCTCCCGGCTTCCCATTATAAGGAATGGCACTCCTCAGATATCATCTTACTCTTAGATGAAAAATTCCTTCCTTACCCTCCAAAGTAAAAAATCTCGCTACTTGTATTTGAATTTTTTCAAATAATATTTTTAATTAATAATTGCAAATAGAGCATTTGGATAAAAAAAGTTGTATATATAACATTCTGTCGGCTACTGGAAAGCCAATAGGCACCTGGAGCGCGATGGAATTCTATCGGCATCCCAGAAGCCGACTGGCCCCCGACAAAGCTGCAGATGCCATCCGCCGGCCGATAGGCCATCGCAGATATGTGTTTTTTTTTTAATTTAGGTTTTGTTTTTCTAGTTACTTTATTAGTTAGTTTAGTTGGTTTAGTTAGATTTGGTTAAGGTTAGATTGATTAGTATATTTAGTTTTTAGTTGTAGATTAGGGTTATGGTTAGGGTTAGTTTAGTTTGATTTTGTTTTTTAGTTAGTTTAGTTTAGTTAGATTACTTAGTATATTTAGTTAGTTTAGTTAATTAGATTAGTTAGTTAGTTTAGTTTTAGGGTTAGTTTTAGTTGTAGATTAGTTTTTTTAGTTAGATTTTAGGGTTAGTTATTTTTAGTTAGGTTCTACGGTTCGATTTATTTAGGGGTATGGTTAGTTGTACCAACGTTATTTTTAGTTGGCAGGTTTAGCAAACGGCAACAATCATAATTGATCTTGGTATAACTTATGCAATTTTCAGAAAATTTGCTTGTTACAAAGGAGTTCATCAAGATAGTGGATTTTGGACTTGCTCGTGAAATTTCTTCTGAGCCACCATATACGGAATATGTGTCCACTCGTTGGTAGGTTATGTTTGAAGTCTTATATTTGCTTAAAGTGTACAAAATAATAGAATATTCTAATGCTTACTATTGGCTAGGTATCGTGCCCCTGAAGTTCTTCTACAGGCTACTGTTTACAATGCAGCAGTTGGTAAGTGAAAAATATTTGTGGCTTTACCTGAAAGCCGGAGGGTAAATTGGTGCCATTTTATTAATATGTTTATTTCATATCATATTTTCAGACATGTGGGCAATGGGTGCCATTATTGCTGAGCTTTTTTCGCTGCGACCACTTTTTCCTGGCTCAAGGTACGCATGGTTGGCGTGTGTCAATCATTTGAACATATATAGTTTCACCCCCTATTTGAACTGAGGTTGATTATACTAAGAAAAGCATGCCACATAGGTGAAAGAATTTAGCGTCGACCATTTTAATAAAATATCAAGTATTTCCTTTTTAATACTAATTTTCATATAATGGAAAATTGACAATAGTCAGCTTAGCTTCTATCAGAAATAACAATCAAGTTACTTTACGGAAAGGCGATTTTGAATAAGTGATCCAAGGAAGCAACTGCCTTTCTTAGAAGTTATTTTGTATAGAAAAGGCTATCTGTAACTCCATGTTTTATCTTCCTCAGTGAACCAGATGAATTCTACAAAATCTATAGCATTCTTGGCACTCGAATCAGCGCACTTGGCCTGAAGGACTGAAGCTAGCAGCATCTATAGGTTTTCGGTTCCCTCGGGTATAGAGATTTATCTCTTGTAAGATATTTTCATATTAGTGACCGTTAGTGGTATAAAGGTGCTACTCCCTCCGTCCCATTGAGTTTGTCGTTTGAAAACCGTGCCCCCCTCACAATCTCGGTTTTCGAGCGACAAACTCAATAGGACGGAGGGAGTATGTCATATTTCAGTGTGAAGGCGTACATCTTTCGGAAGTGGTTTCCTTAGCAAGCGAAGATGCAATCAGCCTTCGTCCCGTTCGTTTGGGCTTGTTTGACTGATAAGCCATGACTGAGAGTACTGTTGGTTGGTTTGATGTGAGTGAAAATACTGTTCGTTGGCTGAAAAAGTACGGCTTATAAGCCAAACAAACCCAAACAAACAGGACGCTTATTTCGACAAGTGTCAACGTTCAACGCTCATTTTTTTTTCTGCTTAGAGTGTTCCTTCCCCCTTCTGTTGTAAACGCGTCCCATTAACTGATGGATAACAAATTACTATCTGCCACAATGGCTTTGCTCATGGGACCCACGAAGAAGGCCAACACCCGTGGAGGTTTTGCAGCATCCCTTCTTTTCAGGTCATTCTTCTGACAGGTGTTGATGAGTTAACCTGCTTCACGACCTTACCATCATTGTGTTTTGCAGCCATGCTTCTATGTCCCTCCTTCACTCCGCTTCAAACCCACCGGATATGCATCAACCCCACCATCAGGTACCTCAATATCCTTGAGATATGCATACTCATATTCTTTTTCATTAGCACATCACTACATCCTTGTTGAACAAGTTCACATTCACATAATGGATCACTACTTCTGTAGCTGGGGCTAAAGGAGCTGTGGATCAGAAGAACGTTAGGAGATACTCCATGGGGACTGTACCCAATGCGAAGCCAACAGTTAATTACTCGTACTTGAGCAATAACACTCCAGCAAGAGCAGGTATGTGTTTGGGCTGGCATGGCCTACTCAGTCCTTATTATCCTTATTAAAGGATTTGTGGTTTTTGCCTCTGGAGGTTCTTACTTTTTTGCCTTGCCAACGTTGCAGCTGGTGTACTTTTTTGCCTTGCCAAGGAAATTGGAGTTGGATCATCAGGTGAATATAATCTCTTAGCTGTTCATATAGCTGGTTGCTTCACATTTTCAGCAATTCAATATTTGTCATTATCTTTTGCAGCTCCCAGAGATTAACCATAAGGTGACAAAGGCGAACGTGATGAATCAGTCTTGGTACAGACCAGCAGCAGTAAGGAACAATGGTGAGTACTGTTCCTGAACATTCCGTGGATCAGAAAAGTAAGAACTTTGGTCTAGTTACTTTGAACTAACATTGCAAACTTTGGTCTCTGAGCAGGGAATTACCTTGCCAAGGATCAGAACCCCCGTGCACCTGACCTTACTGAGAAGCTGTCTCAGCTGTCAATGGGCCCCAACAGAGTTTCGGGTTTGGGTTCCGAGAGGTTCGCTACAGACCTGAAGTATCGAACCCATGGGAACACTGTCGAGCGCCCAGCAGCCGACTGACCCCCGACAAAGCTGCAAATGCCAGTATAGCGGCCCTGTCGGTCTTCTGCTGGCCGATAGGCCCTGCTATATCTACAGCCGTTTCTTCTCCCTCGCGCGCTCTCTCTCGCTCACTCGCTCACCGCCGCGCCGCCCGGCGCCTACTCAGCATCGCAGGTATGTGTTTTTTTTTTAATTTAGATTTTGTTTTTCTAGTTACTTTATTAGTTAGATTTTGTTAGTTTAGTTGGTTTAGTTAGATTTGGTTAGGGTTAAATTAATTAGTATATTTAGTTTTTAGTTGTAGATTAGGGTTAGGGTTAGTTTAGTTTGATTTTGATTTTTAGTTAGTTTAGTTTAGTTTAGTTTAGTTAGATTACTTAGTATATTTAGTTAGTTTAGTTAATTAGATTAGTTAGTTAGTTTAGTTTTAGTGTTAGTTTTAGTTATAGATTAGTTTTTTAGTTAGATTTTAGGGTTAGTTATTTTTAGTTAGGTTCTACGGTTCGATTTATTTAGGGGTATGGTTAGTTGTACCAACGTTATTTTTAGTTGGCAGATTTAGTTTTGGATAATGCTTTTAGATTACGGCTAGTTTAGTTAGTAGTTTGCTGTTAGGGTTAGTTTTATTTTAGTTTCTTTTGTTTAGTTAGGATAGGTTCACATGGTACTTCTTTTAACTGACACGATACTTTGTACGATGCGACCAGGAATGTCGACCGATTTAGTCCCTTTCAGAATTTACCATGGCAACGATGAAATCAGATATGTGGACAACGGGGTAGACCTTAGCGAGTTCCAGGTCTTTGACACAGAACTGAATTCGCCGCTATATTATAGCCGGAAACAAGTTTTAGCCTGGCTACATGAATACTTGGGTGTTCCGCCCTCCCAGTATCGTTTCAGGATTAGTATGTTGGTGCCAAAATTGCGGGAGAATGGATGGAGGTGGGAGCTGTACGAGGCCAGTAAAACGAAGAAATGGCATTTTCTCGTGTCCAAGGCGTTGGAGCGTAATTATTTCAACATTATGCTTGTTGAGTTCCTAGATGGTGGCATGCAGGGTGAGAGTAGCAGAGGACAACTTAGAGGTCGCAAATGCTGAGCAGACCTACGTTTGCGATCCTCAGACGATTCAGAACACGACAGAGGATGGAGAAGCGGAAGAGGATGGTCCGTACATGGAAGCTGACCAGGGTGAGGAGGATGAAAGAATCTTGGAATAGATGGAGGCTGACGATGCGGAGCACCTCGCCTTCGTGGATGAATTTGCGGGCAGAAGCTTTGACGATGAGACCGATATCCCTGAGGATTGGGCTCACATAGTACCAGATGCCATGACGGTCGATGATGGTCATCATTCGTCATGGGAGTATTCAAGGATTGAGGTCAGACAAGGGCAGATGTTTCATGACAAGGTTCATCTACAGCACGCGGTTTGGCGGTGGGCTTTTTTTGAAAAGAAGCATTTTAAGGTGGTTATTTCTAACCCCATGACATGGGACGTTAAGTGTGTGACCCCAGGTTGTACTTGGCGTGTTCATGGTCATATGCCACGTATCGAAAGCAACTTTATATCCACTATTGTTCAACCACACAGTTGCATGCTGCAGACAATGCTGATGAAGCATAAGAACATGACGGCGGAATTCGTGGCAAACATAATGTACGGCAAGATAGTTGAAAAGTTGGCATGTCTCCATTTTGGATAATGCTTGCTATTCAAAATAGATATGGCTATGAGATTTCTTATGACATGGCTTGGAGAGCAAAACAACTAGCCTTGGAGAAGAGGTTCGGAAATTACAAGAACTCATATCACCACCTACCAACTCTTCTAGCAACCATTCAAGCGAGAAACCCTGGGACTGTAATTGATATTGATGACTACATCAACGAGAAGAGAGACCGTGTCCTTAAACGAGCTTTTTGGTCTCTTGGGTGCATGATACAGGCCTTCAAGCATTGCCGACCTCTGCTCTGTGTCGATGGTATTTTCTTGACTGAGCAGTACAGAGGTACGTTGCTAACAGCCATAGGGGTTGACGGCAATGACCAGGTTGTGCCTATTGCTTTCGCCCTGGTTGAATCGGAGAAGAGCGAAAGCTGGTTGTGGTTCCTGAAGTTGCTGAACCGAGCTCTCGTGGAAGAAAGGCAGTGTTTGTGTCCTGCATGATCGTAATGCAGGTTTATTGAATGCAGTGGATAAGTTGAAGAACGGTAGGGATCCAGAGGTCCAATGGCTCGATATACAAAGTCGCTGGTGCATGAGGCATCTAGCTAGTAATTTCTACAAGCAATTCAGGAGCAAGCGCCTAATGGACCTATTCAAGAGCCTATGCAAGTAGAACAAAAAAAAATTCGATTTCCTTTGGCAACGGTTAGACGAGCTGACCACAAGCCACATGAAAGAAGTTCGTCGTCAACCTGTTGTGGCACGAGAGGAGGAGCCGCAAGGCCTTGGTCCCGATCCTAATGAGCCTAAAAGCAAAACTTGTCGATGTAAGGGGGGCAGGTCTTTGAAGTGATTCTCAGATTGGATTAAAGAGGAGCCCGTCGAGAAGTGGTCGTTGTTGCATGAAACCTATGATGCACGCTACGGCATAATGACAACAAATCTAGTGGAGGTTTACAACTAGGTGCTCAAAGGTACACAGTCGCTTCCTTTGGTTGCAATTGTGGAGGGTATCCTGAGGGGCACAGTGTTGTATCTGCGAGAGCGTTGTGAAGCGGCAGCCGCAGTCGTTCAGAATTCACAAATGACATATTCATGGAAGATTTCTGTATACATCGAAAAGAAGTGCGCCAAAGGGTCCATGCATAGGGTGTTTCCTGTTGGTAACTAGGACCTTGTGTACGAAGTCATGCTGCATGACCAGGGCGGACTTGGCACTGGTCCAAGCGACATAACTATGGAGTGTCAGTTATGGCCAGAGGTTAACAAGTGCGAGTGCACATGCAACAAGCTGAAGTACTACCATTATCCATGCTCCCATGTGCTTGCTGCATGTGGAAAAGCCAAGATTTCGATGACTTTTGTGTTCGATTATTTCAAAAAGGAAGCCGTATTGAACACATGGTGTGGTGAGCTTCGAGGTTGGAGGGCCATTGTTGATTTCACTAAGGTAGTTCATGACTCGGACTGTTATTGGTCTCTGGATCCAGAACAAAGGGTGGACACAAAGGGATGTCACATGAGTCGTCGTATTAGGAACGACAGGGATGCTTCGGAGGCTTTAGACAAGCGTCCCTTCTGCCTCGCTTGCGGTGGAAATCATTTGAGGAAAAATTGTGATGCGTACCCCACAAATAGGCTTCTAGATGGATAAGTGCGGCGTATTTCAAAACACAACTCTAGGCAGGCCACTCAACACGGCCCTAACGCGTAGCATTCTATAGGTTTGAACTACGTCTTGTAATATTTTAGTTTTGGACTATGGTGTAATATTTTAGTTTCGGAGTATGTTATAATATTTTAGTTTTCGACTATGGTGTAATATTTTAGTTTTGAACTATGGTTTAATATTTTAGTTTCGGAGTGTGATGTAATATTTTACTTTGGGACTGTACTGTTGTGAGTTTCTTACTAAATTCGTATTAACATGGATTATCACGTGTTGTAAGTTACTTTTATGAAATCATGTTCCATGTCTCATAATTGTGTGTTGAATTACTTATTCATATGTTATTGTATTTTGAAACATGACTTGGTTTTGTAGGATGGTGGGCATGGAGTTCATCGACCCTGTTATCGACCAGAGGCACCTCTCCAACTTGCAGGATGGGCAGCTTCCCCTATCCCTCTGTCTTCGTACCCACGATGAGTTGTGGCTACTTGACCACCGCTGGGTTCCACGGTTTGTGTACTTTATACCTTGTACGTTCCTGCCTTGTGTGTTCAAATTCGGTAATCAATATTCTTTTTTTGATCACAGGCTACGTGCTGCTGGTCTACTTCCGTTTGCACGCTTGGTTGAGCGACACCGGCATAGGAGTGCGTGTTTTCTGGTTGATCGTGCACTCCTCTCTGTTTGGGTCGACCGCTGGAGACTAGAGATGCATATGTTCCACCTAGCTGTAGGTGAGGTGACCATCACTCTGCAGGACGTCACCATGTTGTTCGGTCTACCTCTCGCCAGTGCCCCCATCGGCCCTGTAGTAGTGCCGAGGGACTGGGAGGACCAGCTCCTACACCATTTTGAGGGTGTCTTGCAGCCAGGGGATGGAGAGGCTGAGCAGTTCGGCTTCCACGACCACCACGGCCCACCAAAAGCGTAGTTGTCTCAGTTCCATGCGGATAGGCTCACGGAGGATGAGGACGACTGGAGGGTCCAGCGATAGTTGGAGGCGTACCTACTGTGGCTGTTCGGCTGGGTACTCTTCATGACTTCTCACCACGACACCATCGATAAGCACTTGGTCCACTACATGGTGCAGATAGCGTACTCACCACTTGAGGTGATTCCCCAGTACAGTTGGGGTTTAGCGGTGCTTGCAGCTACATACCGGGCTTTGTGCAACGCTTGCACTCAGAGGAGTTTCGATAGGTACGTTGGCTAGTTGTCCGTTGTTGGTGATGTTGTGATCGTTTGAGCGGTTCAATATCAGGAGGCCGACCCTATCCTCGTACGATCCGTACAACGATGAGATGTACGATATCGACCAGGTTGGTGTGGCCGACGAGCTCGATGCCCCGACGATGGGCACACTCTGGTTGTCCCGCGATGTAAGTATTGTGTCTATGCTATTTGTTCACTTATGTTAGTATTCTGCTTTCAATATTCAACAAGTTTGTTTTTTGCAGTCGAGGTGGGCAACAGGCACGGGTAGAGGCATGTACAATGCGTACGTCGCTGCGTTGGACCAGCCACACCTGACAAGGTTCAGTGGATCCCATACACAGCACTTGACATATAGGAACGTGCTTCACAAGGCTTGTCGGAGATGTGCTACAGTGACCAGGAGCTATGGTACACGAGGAAACGACTGGTGTTTAACATCTTCGTCGAGCCATACTGTCAGGAGTGGGTGGCATGTCAGTTTGGGCATGCGAGTAGGTCTTCCCCCTTCCCCGACTTCAGCTTAATGGGTCGCATGGGTAAGTCTTGTTGTATTCACATTTCTTCTTGATGCTGGTACGGCTTTATTCATTATTAATTGTATTGTAGGATTTCAAGGAAAGGTCAAGGTATAGTGTTCGAGTAGTCGTGGGTGGACAGGATGATGCCTTGGGTCAATGCTTGGGCCAAGGCGGCCGCTGATGTGCACGACCTAGGTGGGCTATTCGACGAGGCCACGTACCGCAAGTACTTGCGTTGGTTCCACGGAGCCACACACGCCCGTCCGTGTCAGTAGAGGCCGAGCCGCAACGAGGCCGAGATCACCAACACATTCGCGATGGAGCCACCAGCTGCTTTTCATGTGCTGGTAAGTAAATTTGTAAACTACTTTGTCCTATTGTTACTTTTCCAATGAGTCACAATAATTCATGCAACAATACATGCCTGGCTTGTAGACAGATATCTACAGCAACGTGGGCAATGAGCTGCTTTCGTATGCTGGGCGGTTCGAGCAGAACCCCCTAACGGTTGGTAGGAGCGAGTTGGTTGCCGCCCTTCGATGACTAGGCAACGTTGCTTGGCGGGAGTACACCGGGCATCGTGCCACCACACCACGAACGTAGTTGTTCATGTCTAGTAGGGTGTGCCTCGAGCTCCACCTCCACCTCCGCCTCTAGTCATAGGATCTAGAGGATGTCCTCGTCCTTCGCACCAGACAGTTGGAGTCCAAGGTACTTCTACGATGACCTTCCGATTTCTTCATGCATTATGTACATAACATGGTCTATGTGAGCTTACAATTTTTTGGTAGGTGGACGTGCTTCTTGCAGTGACTACACGACGGGTACTAGCAGCTTTGGGACCTTTTACACCGACGACACTCCTCCTTGGGGCCCCGATGAGGCCAGGCCCTCATAGCTTTCTGGTGCACCTCTACCGACTCAGCCGATAGAGTCGACCTCGCCGGCATGCCAGCGCCGTCCTCTAGACCCGCTCACTTACCCTATGGCATAGATTCGTCACCGAGGAGCACAGGCCATCAAGCATGGGCATCGTGCTGGTTGACCTATAGTAGTGCTATGGTTGTATGCTTGCATGGATGTGAACTAATGTACTCCTAGATTTCTGATGCCTCCAACCGTATTAGTCGATTTAGAACCATTTAATGGAGGCAACGCTCCAATAACTTCCGACGCCTGCATCGAGACAAAGGACAATTCAGCGGACAAATGGCGTAGGCTTTGTAGGTTCGTACACTTTTCAGGGTGCCATCACTTCAACAAAGGCATAGTAGTACACATATACGGACATAGCCTTTGGAGTGAGTTGTCACTTCATCGTTATTTAGGCTTTGCAGTGAGTACTCACATCAACACAATAGGAACCGTACTGAATCTATAGTAGCCACCACCAAACTCTACCGACGTCTGCCTTTGTAGGCTTTTCAGTGAGTTTTCATGTCACCGTCGTCTAGTTTCGTAGGCTTTTCACGCTTCAGTCAGGTCACTTAATGGCAATACAAATGTACGATGTAGCCTTTTCAGTGAGTATTCACTTTGACACTGCCTGCTACATAGCCTTTTCAGAAAGTTATAACATCGAGCTACATAGCCCATGTCCATGGCACTTGCTATATATCGACGGGTCCAAGTTGTTCATGGCCACCGAGTGCAAAACTGAAGATACCACCCAACAAAGAGAGTCCATACCAATGTCGGGTGCATCGGGGAAGGGGAAGGGAAAGGGAACTGATCCTATGGTTTGGCCAGGATCTTATGGTCCAGATTGGTACCCAGATCCACTAGACAACTTCCCATTGGAGGGTAAGAAGGATTTCCATCCACCAAGTAGGTTGCGACCATATGATAACAGGAAAGAAGAGTGGCCAAAATGCTGTCACGGTGACAACTGCGTAGTGTAGGTGTATGACGGTGGTGATGATGGGCTTCATGGAGGGCATCGGTTCTTAAGATGCCCTCAAGGATGGGTAAGGCATACCATGCATCTTATCGTACAACTCATTTTTGTTACATACTAACAACATTACGTATTGTGTAGAGCTACGATGATGAGGAAAACTATAAATTCACTAGATGGGTTGATCCACCACCCATTTACCCATATGAAGAATACATTCAGTACCTACAGAACCACATATTTGACCTTGAAAGAAGAAAATAGTCAAGAAGAAGAAGGGCAAGATGTTATGATGGAAGACAAGCCAGTGTGCAATGATCCATATTGCAAGTGCCCCTGCCATGGAAACATGGGGCCTCCTCCACCTCCTCCGCCTCCTCCTACGTATAGTGGTCATCTCAGCAATCGATGTTCTCTGGATACGAGAGTGATTAGGACCTAAGTTGTGTTGGCGGAAGCTTTAGTACAAATGTATCGCTTGCTTTCAATCCGTAGTCTGTACTTTGTGTGTTTGTAATTCCTGATGTGTACCTTGTTGTTTCAATCCATAGTCTAAGAAGGCTATGTTGTATCACATATTTTGTGGAACGTAACATTTTATGCAAAGGACAAAAAAGGCTACGTTGTACCAATGTCTGAAAATGCTAGGGTCTATGAATTTATTACAACTATTGCGCTTGGATTGCTCGGATGCTGGTGCCGCTAAAGAGCACACATGCTCGTTTGCTAGTGCTCCACTATGCCTGTATGTTCCTACGCACTCTCCCTCTCTCCCCTTCTCTCTCTCGCATGCGCGCCTGCATGGTCTCCTAAAAGCTCTAGTTTGGTTTTGGTGAATTGATGAAACCCTAAGTGCTAACCTAGTTTATCAAAGTGATTATGAGATAGGTGGCACCTTCCAAGTGGTGGAGCAAATGAAGATCATGATATGATGATGGTGATGCTATAGAAAAGACAGGGCTTCACAGAGTGCACCGGACACTGGTCACACAGTGATTGGACTCTGACCCTATGACCAAGATGCTGAAGCGGTGAGCTTGGTCTCGGTCTAATGACCGGACGCCATGTTGAAGAGTGACCAGACGCCTTCGAGGCTGCGTGCAGTCGATGCTAACGTCTGTTGATGATGTGGTAGCATAAGGAACAGCAGTGACGCGTAGTAGTTGGAGAATGATCAGACTCAGGTGCTGCGTCCGATCGTACAGGAGCGGATGTGTCCGGTCACAAAACAGTTGCTTAGGGAGCTCTCTGGAAACGACCGGACTCTGGCTGGTCTGCGTCCGGTAGCTTATAACCGGACACGTCTGGTCGTGACTGGAACCTTACTGGAAGTGACCGGACACTGGGGTCCTGTGTCTGGTGCTACACTGTAGTGCGTTCGGTCACAACTTAAATAATCTGATGACTGTTGAGATCAAGCGATCAGCATTTGAAGCAGGGGACAAGTGGCGAAAATCTGAGGACAAGACGCTGGATAACCCCTACTTTTCTGCATTTTAAATTATATTTGTGCATTAAGTTTTAAGGAGTTGAATGAAACCCACTTGCATATATATCTTTATCCTATGAGTCTTACTAGTATGACAGGATCGTGTAGATTGCTATGCTACAGGACTCCAGTAGAAGTCGAGTGATTACCTGTCACTCACGAGAGATAGGAAATATATTACTATATTATTATCACTTGGAATATATAAATGGTGAAAGGAAAAATGGAGATCAGGCAGGGATATGGTTTGGGTATTGGTGGGTGTAAGAGGTTGTGTCCTGCGGCCAACGGGGCATAGCTTGGTTATACTATTTTCCCTATCTATGTCGGTTAAGGACCGACTGTTGCATTGGACTCTAGGCAAGTCACAGACTTATTAACCCGAGCACATACTTGGGTATGGGCGCCAGGAAGACTTGTTACTCTCTTGTCATGGGTTCTGGCTCTTTCCGGACCAACTTTTAGGGTGGTTTTGGGTGGAGGTCCTTGCACCGCACTGAGTCTGGGACTCGGGGGCGGGGCTTGGAGTCCAAGTTTAGATGGGAACCTGGACCCCATGACAGGAGGGTAGTGGGTTGGTCCTACTTGTGCCTAGGGTACAAGCAGGGCATGTGTTTCAGGGTACCCAGCTGGGCTCATTGATTCATGAATCGCCGCCGTGTCGGTTCGACTTGTCTACAATCTAGCACCGTAGTAAGAACTAGAAGATGAAAGATGGTAAAAGGAAATCTGATTGCTTACCACCTGCTTGAAAGTAGCACATATGCTTACATAGAATGGTTAGTTAATGAACTAATGATGACTGCTAATAAAATTGAATATAAGGACGCACGCTTAGTAATGCTTCCTGTTGATGCAATAAACCCACAAGCCAGATAGCCTTGCATATCCTTGGAGTCTTTTCTTTTCTCCTGTCGGGTAAGTCTTGCTGAGTACAATTGAGTACTTAGGGTTTTTATTTCCCCCTGTTGTAGGTGACAGGCGAATGCTAGAGCTGACCCTTGTGTGTGGATTCCTCCTGGTGAGCCTAGAGAGGATTCCTTTACGCTGCGATCATAGTTTAATTTGTAACTCTCACTAAATGTTTTTATAAATGGAAATTTTATAATCTGCTATCATAGTTATATATCAATGCTTCATCATGCCATGAATAGATATTTATTTCCGTTGTAATTCTGATCACATGTTTATATTCCGCTTGAAAGCTCTAGTTTGATTTTGGTGAATTGATGAAACCCTAAGTGCTAACCTAGTTTATCAAAGTGATTATGAGATAGGTAGCACTACTCCAAGTGGTGAAGCAAATGAAGATCATGACATGAGGACGGTGATGCCATGGTAATGATCAAGTGCTTAGACTTGAAAAGATGAAAGAGAAAAACAAAAGGCTCAAGGCAAAGGTATAAGTGGTAGGAGCCATTTTGTTTCGGTGATCAAGATACTTAGCGAGTGTGATCACATTTAGGTTCGATAGCCATACTATTAAGAGGGGTGAAACTCGTATCGAAATACGGTTATCAAAGTGCCACTAGATGCTCTAACTCATTGCATATGCATTTAGGATCTAGTAGAGTGTTAACACCCTTGAAAATGTTTGTGAAAATATGCTAACACACATGTGCACAAGGTGATACACTTGGTGGTTGGCACATTTGAGCAAGGGTAAGAAACTTCACCGGTGGAGTGTCCGGACGTGTGGCAGAACCTCCTAAATTATAGGGCCCACATGCACCTGTCACTGTCCGACGACCTTTGACATCTATGCATATGTTCCCGATAACTTAAGAAGACTGTCGGGTGTCCTCGGAGAACCCCGAATCATCCCACGATTTCACGGCGGGATCACATTCTTTCCATTGTAGTATTACAGCAGTTTATTCAAATAGATACATCGAGTAAAATATCCGCTTGTAGTAGCGGAAGTCTTACAATAACTTAGTTTACAAAACATTTATTTCAAACCTTACAAACTAAGTTCGATTATTAATACAAACCAAAGTAGTGGGAGGCATTATAATATATTACAAAACACACAATTTAAGTTTTGCTTAGAGGATCCGACACATTTATATCATGTAGGTCGGGACCTAATGTCGTCATCTCGGAATTCCCAAACCGACCCAATAATCGATCAATCGCCGCTGCTCTCACTATGGAGACAAGGGTCAGCGAACCATCGAGTACAAAAGTACTCAACAAGACTTATGGAAATAGAAAGTGTTGATATGAAGTTTCATGATCTCAATACTCATCGGATTCAAGGTATATGATCTTATGAAGTAATCAAATTCTTTTTAATAAAGAATCTTGTTAACAAAGCTCTTTATTTCAACATTTAAAACTTCATTATTGCATATACAAAGTACCTTGAATCCCATGTGAGCCCGCAACTTCATATCAACACTTTCTCAAACCATACTCAAGTTCGATTAAGTCTACTGATGATGTACTTTTGTGAGTCTCCATAGTTCGCTGACCCTTGTTGAACGTGTGATTATAAACCCCCGTGAAA